TTCTTATTAATATGCTGTGTGCTTAATAAATATTTTTGTGGAAACTGATACTTTTTCCCAGGATTGTGTGATATATAGAAAGCTTAAAAAAACAGCATCTTTTGTATCATTATAAAAGTCTTTACAGTTAGTTTTGATCAACTTAAAAAAAAAAAAAAAAGGCTGACTCCAAACTTTTGAACGGTAGTGCATGTTGCATGCATTTTTTAAGCCAGGCCTAACTACAGCTCCTCTTTACGTCAGACGTTCAGCATAAACACAAGCGCGCACGCCCTCTCACACACCCACATACAGGGAAGTGGTCAAGAAAGAGTTAATCCTGAGTCATTCTGAACACCACCCTGCCAAACCCATATAACATACAAATTCTCTCAGAGTATAGGAAACATCGTCCATGTATTCACGCTGTTGTGGTCCTCACGCACCACCTATTCAGGCCTCTTGACATTAGTCTGTGAGCTGGAGAGCTGGTTCAGTGGTGACAACATGATGACAGCGAGAAGAGGGTGAGCCACAGGACCTGATTGTGACCTATACACATATTAAGAGCATGCCAAGAAAATTAAGAGCGCTACCTGTCCTGTGACTGTCATTATGATGATGCATATTTAAACGCCATTTTAAATGATAATCTACATAATAGCCTCAATCCAACCATCATGGGGACAACACCTAAAAGGTGTATACAACACCTTTTCTTCACCTATTCTTAGCTGTTAAATATCTTTTTCCATGACTTTTGTCTTCTGTCATGTAATGACCCCAACCAATATGAAGTCAAACACACAGCTGCCACTTAAAGTGGTAGTTTACCCAAAACTGAAAATGATGTCACCATTTACTCACCCTCACGGCGTTCCTAACCTGTATGTCAAAAGACAATATTTTAAAGAACTATTTTGGTCCATACAATGAAAGTCAATGGGGTGCAAAACAACACTAGACTCCTAAGATTTTTATTGTATGGACACAAACAGTTATTCAAAATATCTTCTTTTGTATTCCACAGAAGTCATACAGGTTTGTAAAGACAAAGTGTAAGTAAATGACAATTTTCATTTTCACATTAACTAACAAGCGTGCAGCCTCAGTGGCCAAACATTTTCCCACAGTGCGCACCATTCCATTGCCATCACAAGAGATCTGCATGGCAGTCTTGTGCTTCAGTTTCTGCCAATACTTCTGTGCCTGTCACAGATCTGGACGGACTTTAAGGAAGCCACTGAGCAAACAAAGGGGTCCCCTCATCTGTTTTTCTTACACTGTCAATCCTCCAACCTCCCCACTTGTGCAAATCCATCCTTCAGCAATCAGCATCAAATGAACAACTGCAAACTCATTACTTCTGTGATGCACATGTGGAATTTCTGCGCGAGGGCGCCCTCTAGCATCCAGTATGAATGAAACAGACATTAAATGTGTTTATAGAGCTCAATAATGGCCAATCCATCCTATTTTGGGTATTTATTTATTTATTTAAAGTATCAGTTTAGGCACCGGTACCGTTTTAAAAGTATCGATTTTGCACCGGTATCGTAAAAAACTCAAACGATACCCAACCCTAGCGAGGACTGGATTAACCGCTGAGCTACATCATGTGTCATTCACCGGTGAGAAAACTTTAAAAGTACTACAATACCAGGAAGGAAGATCGGGTTGTTGAATACAGCCATGGTGCATAATTTAGAGGAAATATTTAGAAATACAAAATGTTAAAGACAAAAATGATTGAACTAATATATTAATATATATACCTTGAACTAATATACTAATATATATGCTATACTATATATATATATATATATACTAATATATTATACTATTTTATATATATATATATATATATATATATATAACAGGGCTGTGTATTCCCTAGTTGCTGGGAACATTGTTTTCAAACAATTACTTGTATTAGATTATGTATTCGGTTATATACAGTATTTATAGACTATTAAAGACTACTTTTTGTAAAAGTTGACATTTAAAAGTTGATTTGAAGTGTCAGTTGTTGCATTATTATAGCAGTCAGATATGGACACAGCCACACAGGGAACGCATTTTGTTACTCATACTAGCTGCATATAATAACTTGATCACTGATCAGTCACACAAAACTAATCAGAATATATATTGAAGAAGGGCACCTCAGCCAATGAGGGCAGAGGGGCAGTGGCTCTAGCCACTGGGCCACCCCCCAGTGCACGGCCCTGGCGCACACGCAGAGAGGCGCGTTTCGAACAGCGCAGGAACACCGAACTGAATCCTCTTTCGCATCTCCTTGCATTTGAACAGACACATACACATAAAATTATGACAAAATACCCATCTTATGTCTTAAGTGAACAAAAACCACTGAGAAAGAAATTGGATGTGTATCATTATATTGGATCCGTGCATCAGGTCTTAAAGGGATAGTTCACCCAAAAATGAAAATTCTGCCATTAATTACTCACCCTCATGTCGTTCCAAACCCGTAAGACCTCCGTTCATCTTCGGAACACAATTTAAGATATTTTTGATGGAATCTGACAGCTCTCTGACCCTCCCATAGACAGCAAGGGTACTACCACGATCAACTACCACGATTTTGGAGAGTATCCACTGAACGCAAACAGCTTGTGGTGCGGCTGACACAGAACAACATACACTGTTTGCATTCAGTGGATACTCTCCAAAATGGCGCAAGGGTGACGCGGAGGAGACGAATTGTTGAATAAAGTAGTTTTTTTTTTTTCTTTTGCGCACAAAAAGTATTCCCGTAGCTTCGTAATATTACGGTTGAACCCCTGATGTCACATGGATAATTTTACCGATCTCCTTGCTACGTTTCTGGACGTTGATCGTGGTAGTACCCTTGCGGTCTATGGGAGGGTCAGCGAGCTGTCAGAATGCATCAAAAATATCTTAATTTGTGTTCCGAAGATGAACGGAGGTCTTACGGGTTTGGAACGACATGAGGGCGAGTAATTAATCACAGAATTTTCATTTTTGGGTGAACTAACCCTTTAAAGGGACAGCAGCCTATAAATACCTGCTGCAGTAATGCCCATCAAACAACAAAACACAGCTTTGACAAAGATTAATCTATATTTAATTTATACAGTGCACACTATGCAGTGTTATTTTACACTTAATTATTACATTTCTATACCTGAATACTACCGACCTTATTTTATTTATAACTTTGTTCTGTTGTATTTATCTATGCTTGTAATTTGCATTTGTTCTCATTTTTTTTTACTGGCTGTTCACTTGTCTTTAATCATGTTTGAACTTTCTTAGTTAGGTTTGTAGTTTTTGCTGTGGTATCAAAAAAGTACTTAGTTTTAATAAATGGAAAGCAAAGTTAAATTGAAATATATTTTTCTTGCTGATCCGATCAGTGACTCAAAAACCATATGATCCAAACCATAAGTTTTGTGATCCGTTGAACCATTACAAACCTGAGTAATAGTGAACTATACTAAACTAGAATCAAACCTGAGTGTTGAACCAGAATCAAACCTGAGCGATGGTGAACTACACTCAAACCAGTGATAGTGAACTAGTCAAACCTGAGTGATAATGGACTATAGTGAGCTAGAATAAAACTTGAGCGATAGAGAAATTAGCATTAACACAATCCTTGTGTAGGGTTGAGTATCGTTTGGGTTTTTTTCGATACCGGTGCCAAATCGATACTTTTAAAACGGTTACAGTGCCTAAACGGTGCCTGAACCGATACTTATTATAAATAAATAAATAAATAAATTCCCCCAAAAAATGATGGATTGGCCATTAGCACTATAAACACATGATGTCTGTTTCATTCTTACTGAACGCCAGAGGGCGCCCTCGCACAGAAAATCCACATATCCAGTCACAGAAGTAGCGTTACTCATGACCCTCCAGGAAATCCCTTATATGGACAAAGGCATCGCCATTATAGCTGTAACTGAGTAAACAGAAAATATAAACGTTTTGAATGAAAAAACAAAGACAATAAACACTCGACTGCGACAATATAGTTTCTGGTATTTTCATAACAATTAAGTATATTTATAATCCATTGCTAATCGATGTATTCTTTTTACAGTAGCCTATGGAGCATATTTTCTGCCTCATTCTGTGACAAGAAGCCACATCAGATCACAGAAGGAAGCAGACTTGAGTTCACGTGCATTTTCTCAGTTGGGAAATAATTTTTCGTGCAGTGCCGGTGATGATGTTTCTTACGTCCTTTTCGGATAACCAGAGGACAAATATTTCAATCGATCGCTCAGGCATGGCACCGAACTGAGGCACCGAAATCTGCGTTCTGATTCGGTTCTTGTACATACCGATTACATAGGTACCGGTGCCATATTGGTAACGGGTTTCGGTACCCAACCCTATTCTTGTGTGACTGATGTCACATGGACTATTTTAACGATGTCCTTACTATGTTTCTGCACCTTGAATGTGGTAGTTCCCTTGCTGTCTATGGAGGGTCAGAAAGCTCTCGGACTTCATCAAAAATATCTTGATTTGCGTTCTGAAGATGAAGAAAGTCTTACGGGTTTGGAACGACATGAGGGCGAGTAATTAATCACAGAATTTTCATTTTTGGGTGAACTAACCCTTTAAAGGGACAGCAGCCTATAAATACCTGCTGCAGTAATGCCCATCAAACAACAAAACACAGCTTTGACAAAGATTAATCTATATTTAATTTACACAGTGAACACTATGCAGTGTTATTTTACACATAATTATTACATTTCTGTATCTAAATACTACAGTTAGACCTTATTTTGTTTGTAACTTTTTATATTGTATTTATCTATGCTTTATTATTGTTTATTTTGTTCTTATTTTCTAATATGTAACGGGTTTCGGTACCCAACCCTATCCTTGTGTGAGACGCCCCAGACTCAGTGTTTTCAATATATCATGAATTAAAAGAGCCTGCTAACTAGCTAATTTAGCTTCTTTTTTTTACTATTGTAAAGTAGATCTGGGTGATATATCAAATATTAGAGGTATTATCGTGATAATCAAATATATAATTACAGGATATTGTGAATTGAATATTGTTGAAAATTAATGTGCCAAAGATGGTACCAATAGGCAGTTTCACTCCTGCAAACTAGCCAAGAAGTTCTTATGTGTTCCAGCATCTAGTTCCCCATCTGAAAGAGTTTTTAGCGCCAGTGGGAACATAGTGTCATGCCACAGAGCATCTCTTAAACCAGAAACTGTTAACAGACTTGTGTTCTTAGCTATAACTTGTGAAACACTTGCATAATTTACCCCGGCTCCACAGTGTGGAATATAGTATGTGAATTACATTGTTCCAAAGAAGCTGTCAAAATGCACTTTTTTTTTTCTAATTGTTAGTTACATGTGTTAATTTAGTAAAAAGAAGAAACTGTGTGTTTTGCACGTAACATTTTGAATGTAGCTGTTCTATCCTAATCATTTTTAATGGGGCAGAAGGATATCACCTATTTAAGTATTCTGGAGCAAATGCAAAAACATTGAGATCTATCGATTATCATAAAAATTTGGAATAATATAAAATTTTATGTATATTGCCCAGCCCTACTGCAAAGTGAACTGAATGAGACCTGACTTTTGTTATTTGTCAGCTAGTTTGATTTCCATGAAGTAGACAATTTTTTTTGTTATTGATTAGTCATTGTTGTCCTAGTACAGATATTCCTGTGGTGATGATGGGGTAAATGAGTGTTTTCTGTGATTTTGCTGACTGTATGTTTGTGTTCGATCAGAGGCTGATCTGGTCATCAATGAGGTAATGTGGTGGGCTAACGGGATGTATTTCTGCTCTGTGGAAGCACCTGGAGACACAGTCGGAGATTCAGACCAAGAGATGAAACTTATAGTGTACCGTAAGTTAATTACCTGATTACTGTACTAACATGAGTGTGTTCATTAAACTCTACAGAACAAAAACCCTTTAACACAACGACAAAAAAATCATGAATGGACACTTTATAATTGTACAAATTATAATAGTATAATTATAATTCTTTTAAAAATAACGGACACGTTAAAAACTTTTAATTGCATTCAAAATAGGAGCAAACTCATACTCAATTACAACATGTAGAGATGCTTATAAATCACCACACATGAACACATGATTAGGACCAATCATGGAACAATTACATGAGAGAAAAGACAAACACAACAAGATATAAAGTAGCAAATGACTGGAACTGACTTTAGTACTTCAGTGAAAATCCTGGACTGATTTGTGTAGATGAATGGAGCCGTATCATCATGAACAGATAAACATAGCCTAATCATCAGTGCATGTCTGAATGTGTGTTGTGGTTTGTTCTGTTAGATTGGTTGACGGTTCTCCTCATCATCCTCGGCGTGCTGGCACTCATCATTCTCTTCTGTATCTGTTGCTGTCAGTGCTGCCCGCAGAAGTGCTGCTGTTATGTGCGCTGCCCCTGCTGCCCTCAAACCTGCTGCTGCCCCGAGAAAGGTTCAAACACAAAAACCATCAGCTTCTTTCACTGAACACAGAGATAAAGGCACTCTCCATAATGCCCTATTATGTCTGTTTAGCGGTGATGCAGCACAGGCTGATGAAGGAGGCGCAGAAGGCCATGACGCCGTGGCTGAACGGACAGCCAATCTACACGCCGATGAGCAACCACAGCTCCTCTTACCAGATGAACCCATGCTGTACACAGGTCAGAAACTGTGATGTATTTCACAAGAGGAATAAATGGGGAATTGAATGGTTGGTTTGTCTAGACTTTAACCCTATAAAGCCTGACATAATAATATGAAATCAATTTTTTAAATGGAACAGTTTATTTAACCTTTATACAAAATAAAATAAAAAGTCTGCGAGTGTGTATTTGATCAATCAATGTCGGTGTCATTTTATTGATAAAGCACTATTTAATACAACATCTGTTGACCAATATGTGTGTATTTGATCAATCAGGCTTTTATGGCTTATTTAGTAAGAATATTGAGGGGAAAAAAGTTCAGTTTTATTCTGAACTCAAACAGTTAGAGACTCAAACTGAGCAAAAATATGCAACATGGTACAGATGCTGATATTTATATAGACAAAAAGCAAGATAAAATTCTGATAGTTTGTAATGTAAATGTATTTATAACAGTATAGCAGATACTTAAAACCTTTTAGGCGCCAGGGTTTTTTGGAAAAAATGCTGGATTTTGACATAAAGATTTCAAAAGCGTGTGGCTTGAAAGGGCTTAAAGATAGAGATCTACTGTAAATTAGAAAAATGTTGGGCATGACCGAAAATTTATGTGGGGTGTAAATATACTCATCTAATTTGCATATTATGACGTCATCAGGGGCGGCCATCTTGAATTTAATAATATTCAGGAAATAGTAGATATTGAATTGATGTTTGAACTTATTTGCATGTTTTTTTTTTCTTTTTATCCTCATTCCAAATGATCAGAAAAGAGCAAACCAACAATAAAACAGGAGAAAGTACTAAATTATTACTATACTATATAGTAGTAAAACGCATGTGAACAGTAACCTACTTTTTGATCAGTTCATCAGTAATATTCAGGAAATAGCAATCGATCAGAAAAGAGGAAACCAACAATAAAATAGGAGAAAGTACAAAATTATTAGTATATTACTATACTATATAGTAGTAAAACGCATATGAACAGTAACCTACTTTTTGATCAGTTCATCAGTAATATTCAGGAAATAGTAGATATTGAATTGATGTTTGAACTTATTTACATCGTTTGTTTTTTTTTTTTTTCTTATCCTCATTCCAAATGATCAGAAAAGAGGAAATTAGGGATGTTCCGATCCGCCTTTTTCGCCTCCGATATCGATATCGATTCCGATACCTAGGGATACTGATACCGATCCGATACCAGTGAAGTTTTTTCCCCTCGTTTAAATAAATGTAGAATTTATATATCTCTGTGTGTGGAACTGATAATCATTCTTTCACAATCTAC